GACTGGGCACTCAAATGGCAGATGAACTTTAATGTTGAAAAATGCAAAGTTATGCACTTTGGCATAAAGCATGCACAAGCAACATATACCGTTAATGGAAGTGAATTAGGGATAACAACACATGATAAGGACTTGGGAATTTTTATAGATAACAAACTATGCAACAATGTGCAATGTCAATCAGCAGTGGGTAAGGCCAGTAAGGTATTGTCATGCATGAAAAAGGGCATTCATTCTCGGGATGAGAATATAATATTGCCTCTTTATAAATCACTGGTAAAACCACATATTGAATATGCTGTGCAATTTTGGGCACCTGTTCTAAAGAAGGATATTATGGCACTAGAAAAAGTGCAGAGGCGGGCTACAAAATTAATAAAAGGAATGGAACATATCAGCTATGAAGAAAGGTTAACAAATTTAAACCTCTTTAGTTAAGAAAAACGTCGCCTGAGAGGGGAATATGATAACATTATACATATATATTCGGGGCCAATACAAACCGGACTTTACATAAGACATGAGGTCATGCCTTTAGACTGGAAGAAAGAAGATTTCATCTAAGGCAAAGAAAAGGTTTTTTTACTGTAAGAACAATAAGGATGTGGAAGTCTCTGCCTGAAGAAGTGGTTTTATCAAAGTCCATACAGATGTTCAAACAGCAACTAGATGCATACTTGCAAAAATAGAATATTCAAGGATATAATTTTTCAATGTAGGGTAATAGCTTCTTTATCAAAGGATAAATCTGACTGCCATTCTGGGGTCCAGAAGGATTTTTTTTCCTAGTTTGTTGCAAAATTGTGCTTCAAACTATGTTTTTTTGCCTTCTTTTGGATCAACAGCAAAAAACAAATGTGAGGAAGGCTAAACTTGATGGATGCAAGTCTCTTTTCAGCTATGTAACTATATGCAACTGCTATTATAGGGCTTGCTATCTATGTTAAAGGGACACTTCAGGCACCCAGACCACTTCTGCCCATTGGAGTGGTCTGGATGCCAACTCCCACTACCCTTAACCCTGCAACTGTAATTATTGCAGTTTTTATAAACTGCAATAATTACCTTGCAGGGTTAACTCCTCCTCTAGTGGCTGTCTACTAGACAGCCACAAGAAGGCAATTCTGGGATTATACGATAAAAAATATGTGGACACTAAGTGTACAAAATGCCACAAAAATCCACACACCACTCTCTTAATTCCAAAACAGTGAATGTATACAATACTTGTGAATACAGGGATATATACTGGTAGCGTTCCGTGTACTTGGACCCTATAATCACATAAAACAGTACATAGTGTAAACTGTATATGGAAATAACAATAATAAAAATGTATAATGGATCCACTCACGAATTTTAGAGCCGTGCCAGGCTCTATGTTGAATGCCCAAGGGTGCCTATGCAGGCTAAGTGCAGAGTCTTCACAATACTCCTCAAGGCAGAAGAGACAGCAAGGATGGTATAAAAATGAATAAATTTATTAAATAAAAATTATAAAAACAACTAAGCAAGTTGTATAAAAAGTGCAAATAATCAATATAATGTATGCAGACGCGTTTCGACTCGATCAGAGTCTTCCTCAGTGCATAAGAAAGTCCATCCGGCTGATTCTCTTTAAATGTACAGCTCATCTGGCTGCCGGTCACATGGGCGGAAGTTCGGCTTGCCGGCGTCTGACGTCACTTCCGGTTCTTTCGGCGCTCATTTCGTCGGCTTCCCTCTTCACAAAGAGTTTGCCCAATTGAAGCATCGGCTTCCATTGTACATATGGGCAACTCTAAAAAACTTACAGACAATAAGGATGTAGATATACAAAGTCTATATGGACTGTAATGGTATAGTGTAAAATATCAAAGGTATTATAGCTATGGCCCATATACAAAGATTAGGGTATGTAAGGAAAACTAAAGGAATATGCAAAAATGAGGCAAATCATAAAAATAAAATAAGATCAAATAAAAAGAAAAAAGGAAAAAAATATAAAAATAAAATAAAAATAAAAATAAATATAAAAAGGAAAAAATAATAATAACTATAAAAAATGAACCAACTCAAAATCTAAATTTAGGGGGCGTGGCCTGGACACTGAGGAGAATGGCAGCCTAAACTGAGAGCTCCGTCTCCCACAGCTACATACAGCACGCTAACTAAGCAGAGAGGGTCGGAAATGGGACGCACGAAGCGCCCGGACGGCTCCCAAACACCCCGGAGCAACCCTACAGGCTCCCAGGCAGGCCCCATGGATGAATACCTGCAGACTCCGGCAGCCGCATCCCGCGAGCAGGCGGGCGCAACAATAGCCGACTCGCCGCACCACGTGCTACCCCCAGAGACAGCCGGTCCCACACTAACAGATATCAGCGCGGATATCAGAGCGCTGGCAGCCCAAATGGTCACGAAAACGGACCTCCAAACGCTATCAGACGACCTGCACGCGGCGATCCGCCTAGAGGTAACAGCCCTGAGGGCTGAAATAACTACACACAACGGCAGGCTCCAAACACTAGAGGGGAATATGCAGGAGACTATGGGGAGGACGGGAACCACAACCACAGCGGTCACCAGACAGGGAAACATGTTACTAGCCCTGCGACGGCAAACAGAAGATCTGGACAATAGAGGCCGCCGCTCAAACATCCGAGTGCGCGGCCTACCCGAATCGCAGACGGATGAGGATATTGAGGCCACGCTGAAGGCCCTCTTCCAGACCATCTTAGGGGAAGACTTACCTGCTGACCTAACGTTTGACAGGGCTCACAGAGCAAACAGGCCCAGGATACCGGATGGCACACCACGAGACGCCATATGCTGCCTCCACCACTATAAGCACAAGGAACGAATAATGCAGAAAGCCCGCACGAGACCGCTATGGAGATTCCGTGGAGCTGATGTGGCCTTGTTCCAAGATCTGTCACCGCTCACGCTAGAAGCGCGCAGGGCCCTACGTCCCGTCACAACCCTCCTCAGAGAGAGAAATATTCCCTACAAGTGGGGATTCCCCTTTGCCCTACTCGCAAGATACCAGAACGAATGGATACCCCTACGCTGGCCGGAGGAAAGCCCGGGATTCCTACACCGCCTGGAACTACCGCCCACGGAGATAACGGACTGGGTCCTCGGACCGCTAGAGCCACGGCCAAGACCTCCAACACCAAGACCTCAACGCCGCCGCAGAGGGGACTCACCGAGGCGGCCAACAGCACGCAGACACCTGGATCCTGCAGAACCGGAAGAATAACAGCAAAGGAGCACACCCACCCCAACTAGGATGACCCCCCCACCCTCCTCACGAGATAGACTGCTGCGAGCACCATGAGATTGCAGACTCTACCGACACCGGAGGCAGGAAGTGATCCCCAGTACCCAGATAAGTACTACGCTATTTGCCGCGCACATACGGAACCTGAGACTAAATGTCGGGGAATACCGCACTTAATATGGGGCTACCGGGATAACACTACATTTAGGGTGGAGAGGATGCAGGGATGGAGGTGGGACACTGCTCTGGGTCATTACCTATATCCAAACAGGCGGACAAGCACAATGAGAGACACAAAGGGGAAAATGTTTTAATGTTCTAATGTTTTAATGTTATAAGGTTCCCAAATGTTGCATGTTAGATTCAGTAAATTGTCTAAGACCCACGGCACTGATTACAGGGTGAACCACGTTCTGACAAGGCAAGCACACAGCAGGCTGGGCCCACCCCCCCCGATGACATGACCACAACTCAAACCTTGACGCTAGACGCCTGCCCCGTGTGACAACCTACCTAAACACGAAAGACCTGCGTAATAGAGCTATAGAGACGCCCATATCGTCGGAGTAAGAGACCGGGATGGGATGAGCCACCACGTAAACAGGTCAATGGGGAGGCCCCGATTAGACATAGATGGGACGGAACTGGACGGGGGGAGAAATTGGTAGCTACAAAACCCAGCATTAGACGACAGGAGATGCCGTAGGTAGAAGGTAGGCCGCAGCGACTACGGAACTGGCGGTGGCAGGGGGCTCGAAACAATACCCACAATGGCAACCCCCATACACCGCAGAGTTCCTAAATGACAGATTTTATAGAAGACCTATACCACCCCCCCCCGTGTACCCTCCCCCTTCACAAGAAGCATTGCCACCAACTGGTCAGGACCTGGCTCACGAGATCACCCGAACGTAGCAGACGAGGAGGACGGACCACTTCAGCCATATGCCCACCACAAACGCCCATGTGACCACAAAAACATGACGCCACGGGATCACACCTGGGAAGTCTAGGGGGAGCCCAGGGAGCACACAAGAGGAGAACCCATACCACCCAAATCAAGACCAGACTTATGTAGCGACTTAGCGTAACAAATACAATTGAATGCAAACGAGACGGGAGACCCAGGACGGCTGACGAAACCAGACCACATTATATACCACAACCAACTCACCACATATTAAGTGGAAAACGTAAACGGTTAGGAGGCCGCGACCCCAACCCAACCCTGTGTATACATAGACTACTGGGGGGAACACTGCCCTGACGCCCTAGTATACACTAAGTGGCGATTTGGCTTTGTTAACCAACCCAGTTACACAGGTACTCATCATTCACTGAGAACACCCGAACCACCACTAGACACCAGTAAATACACTTGCAAACAGCAAGGCCCCTTTAAAAAGCTTACCAGGAGAATCCCTTGGCCAGCCAACACCCAGTGGAAGCGGGCAGGAGGCCAAGTCGCAGGGGCTCTGGGGCAGCCACCCCTTCATCTATACCCACTGACTCACCTCATTACCCGACCGCCACACCGTCCCATTCCCTACTCACGACACCCGACCTTTGACACAGCTACCACCCGAAAAGAGCAGGGAGCCACACCCGGTTGATTCTCCCCCCCGACTGAAATACCAATAAGTGCATACTGACCCGGATAGAGTACACAGAACTCGGAAGCTAACCCCATAGGACCCTATCCACACGCACACGGTAGATACTGGCCCATCCCTACAGGATGACATATTCAGCCGCACCCTTCCATATCATTACACAAAATTGCCGGGGCTTGAACGCACCCGAAAAAAGAGCACACTTACTGCAGGACCTCAAACGTCGCCAAGTATCTATCGCCCTACTACAAGAAACACACCTCAGGGACGTGGATAACCACAGACTACGGAACAAGCACTACCATACCACCTTCCACAGTAATCATCCAACAGCTCGGAAAGCAGGTGTCTCGATCCTCTTAAACACCAATCTACAGTTCACACACTCCGAAACGGTCGTAGACCCAAATGGCAGATTCCTCTTTGTGAAGGGAATGATATCCCAGAAAACATACACGTTGGCCTCGGTATACGCCCCGAATAAGAGCCAAGCCAAATTCCTCTGCAGAACACTCTTAAAACTAGCCGCATTCACGGAAGGCATCCTAGTGCTTGGAGGAGATTTTAACATAACCTTGGAACCTCTCTCTGACTCATCCACGGGACACAGCTCCATAGCACAGGCAGCGATCAGAAGGATTCGCAAGACACTCCAGGACTTGAGATTGGTAGACACCTGGCGCACACTCCATCCAGATGATCGCGACTATACCTACTACTCGCCCCTCCATAGTCGATATTCACGTATAGATTACATCTTCATACAACAGGAAGGCCTCACTTTCCTGAAAAAGGCTGCGATCAGACCCACCCCGTGGGCAGACCACAGCGAATCATCCATACACCTCGACTCCCCTCTCTTCAGACCCACCCAAAAGACGTGGAGGATAAACGAATCGCTCCTACTGGATACACCGATCCGAACGCAAATAGCAGAACACCTGAACCAATACTTTGCAGAAAATACCACGGAAGATATGTCGAATATAACACTTTGGGAGGCGCACAAGAGCGTCCTCAGGGGACACCTTATTCGGATTGCGTCACGCAAAAAGCGAGAAAACCAACAAGCAATGGCGGACCTCACGGCCCAAATAGCGAACCTCGAAACCCTCCACAAGCGCAGCCAGATGGAAACACACTACCGGGAACTCCTGACAGCACGTAGACAACTTACGGAGCTCATTGACCGTAAACACCACAGAGCAATACAACGCTCTAAAGCCTTCTACTACCTACACGCCAACAAAGGTGGCAAAATGCTAGCCCGTCTGATCCGAGGCCAACAAGCGAGAGCACAGGTACAGGCGATACGGACTTCAAACGGACACCTCACACAGTTCCCGGAAGAAATTGCTAACGAATTCCGCTCCTATTATACAAAACTATATAACATACACGCAAACCACACGGAAACGCGACAAAGCGAAGAAAACAGGCAGGTAGAACAATATCTACAAGAATTCCAACCCGACGCGCTCTCGTACGAAGAAGCGGAATCCCTAGAAGCTCCGATCTCAGAAGACGAAGTACGGACAGCAATCAAGGCCGCAAAAAATGGCAAAGCACCGGGACCAGACGGCTTCTCAATAGGCTATTACAAAAAATTTGGCGATACCCTGATCCCACACCTAACCGCCGCACTAAACCAACTCCAAGACGGAGGCAGATTCCACCCCGAAACACTGGCAGCCACCATCACGGTCATACCAAAACCGGGCAAGAACCCAGAAAACTGCGGGAACTACCGCCCTATCTCACTCCTCAACGCGGATGTCAAACTATTCTCCAAGATCCTAGCAACCAGACTCCAACCCTACATGCCCAGGCTGATACACCCGGACCAAACGGGCTTCATACCAGGAAGAGAAGCTAGGGACTGCACTCTGAGAGCGTTTACCATCCAACACCTAGCTCGAAGAGAAAATAAGAATCTACTAATGCTCTCCACGGACGCCGAAAAAGCGTTCGACCGAGTGAGATGGCAATTCATGATGGCGACGCTCAACAAAGCTGGACTAGGGAGAGGGATGCTCGCGTGGATAGACACACTTTACTGCAACCCCAATGCGCGGATCCGAATCAACGGAGCACTCACGGATGGATTCCTAATCAGCAACGGCACCAGGCAAGGCTGCCCATTATCCCCGCTCCTATTTGCCCTAACACTGGAACCGTTCCTAGACAGGATCAGACGAACACCAACCATACGTGGATTCCAATATAAAGATCAGGAACATAAAATTGCGGCTTATGCAGACGATATGCTCTTCTTTATAGATGACCCGAGACACACGTTACCGGCACTGATGGATGAGTTCGATAGCTACGGCCGAGTATCCGGGCTTAAACTAAACCACACGAAATGCGAAACAATACAAATCTCAGCCCAAACACCTGACTGGGACCACGTCAAAAGAGCATACCCCTTTCATAGCTGCGAAGACCAGATGAGATACCTGGGAATCTGGATTTCCAGCAACCCAACGGAAACCTACGCACGGAACTACGCTCCACTCCTCAATCAAATACAGAAAGACCTGACAACCTGGAATTACGATTGCATCTCATGGCATGGTCGCATAGCTGTAGTAAAGATGAACATCCTACCGAGACTCCTCTATTACTTCAACACCATACCCTGGCACCTACCACCGGAATTCTTCGCAACTCTGAGGACAGCGGTTAGCAGATATGTCTGGAAGGGGAACAGAGTGAGGCTTAGCCATGATAAAATATGCCTACCCAAGGCGTGGGGCGGCTTAGCACTGCCAGACTTCCGCAAATACTACTACGCATCTACCCTACAACGGATAAGAGACTGGCACACGGCCCCTCAACACAAACGCTGGGCGGCACTAGATAGAGAAAGCACAAACAAAACCCTACACTCACAGGTGTGGCATCACACCCAGAGGGCAACCCCAAATATCGACAAGACCTCGCCCATAGAACAGACGCTGAAAACATGGGCCATAATGAGAAAAGAAACATATATATCCCCCCAACCGAGCCCGCTGATCCCACTAACATATAACATTGACCTAGGAGACGGCCTCCCGAGGAGTGCATGGCTAACAACAGAGGGCGATGACTATTTACCCCTGAAGGAGGCGCTAACCAACGCAGGACTGAAGAACATACGTGAATGGACCGGAACCGACACCCCCACACTCATGCACAGGTTTCGATACATGCAACTACGACATTTTTACTACAATCTGCCACACAGATTAGCAGTACACAGAGACACCACGTGGTTCGAAAACCTGTGTGTGAATGAACCAGAAGCGGATGGGAGAGTATCCATACTATACCAACGGATTATACTGGGAGACCGAGTTCGGAACATAGCCTTCAAAAGGCGATGGGAGGACCTCACAGACAGAACATACACAGATGCCCAATGGGAGCAAATACTCATACTTCAGCACAAGAGCTCGATCAGTTCACGATACCAAGAAGTCAACTTTAAATTGATCTCACACTGGTACCGAACACCCTCGCTACTACATAGAATATTCCCGGGGACGCCAGACACCTGCTGGAGATGCGGAACTCAATCAGGAACAGTGAGACACATCTGGTGGGACTGTGCCATAATAAAACCATTCTGGGAAGAGATCCAACAAGAACTGGCCAAGATCCTAGGAGATATGCCAGACCTAAGCATTGAAGCCGCACTGATTGACTTCACGGAAAAACCACTCTCACTCTACAAGAAATCTATCCTGAGACACCTGCTGAATGCAGCCAAATCCTTGATTCCGACACTGTGGAAAAGCACCCAACCACCCACAATCACGCAATGGCTTCAAAGAGTAGAAGAAATCCACGCAGCAGAAGCAAAATACGCTAACTTACTGGGAAGAAGCGACAAACATGCGGAAATGTGGGGATCCTGGTACGTGTACCTAACACAAACACCGACAAGGGAAGGAGGGAGACAAGACACATAGGGAACCGAGATACGCACGACGTCCCAAAACTCAAGCAAAACCCCCCCCTCCAGCCCTCCCACATCCCCACCCTGCCTCAGAGCTCCTGCGGATGAGCCTAATGCCCGGGGAATCACACTGGGACCCCTGAGTGGCAGAATCACACTAGTTACAAATGAAATCTACATGGCCAGGGGGCACGCTAAACAAGAACCAGAGGTTGGGGGAGCCACGCTAGGAGGAAACAACACACTGCACCCACCCCAGCAACACTGAAACATTAATGCATATAGAGGATGGAGGAGACTGAGAGGGGAACTTATCAAACGAACTAACAGACACACTGACACTAGGGATCAAACCCTAAACAGGACTACACTAAGACGCAAGGACACCCCCCCACAACCCCACACTCATACCAATAGGCACTGTGAGACGGGGCCATAGAAGATACAGGCGGGAAGAAGGTGACTGAAAGACACAACAGGCTCACCGACCACCCCCCACCCATCCCATCATCCACACTCTAGACACATTACAGACGAACGACATTAAAGACTGAGAGATGATTACAGCCTGCAAGGACAAGCGAACGACAAGACCTAAAACAACAAATAATATCACAACGCAGAGTGAGCGATCTCAAACCACAGGACCATAGCTAACGCACCTGACAGACTGTAATTAATCAATCTACAACATGTTAAGTGAATATCGTAAATAGAGATTTATTGTGTCAGGAGACCTGCGAGTCTCAATCACTTTTGCATCCTCAGAGATCTGCGCATCTCAAGACCTCAAACGAGATTCTAACTGACTGAAACCTGCGTGTTTCGCACTGCTCATAACCTCACTGCAAATTATTCACCTCGCAAACACTTTAATAAAACGATATTTAAAAAAAAAAAAAAAATCTAAATTTAGGCCTTTGGGGGATAAGGTGTCAAGCTCAAAGATCCACCTGCTCTCAATTTTACAGAGTTCCTTAAAGTTGTCCTCACCTCTCCAATCCTTTTTCTTCTGGGCCACAGCAATAAAACTGACAAGTGAAGGATCACTATTGTGATATTGTGCAAAATGTGCAGAGACACTGTGTTTTGCATAGCCTCTTTGTATATTACCCAAATGTTCCATTATACGAGTTTTTAAAGTCCTTGTGGTCATTCCCACATATTGTAGACCACAAGGACACCAAAGAAGATATATCACATTACTGGAATGACAAGTAAGAATTGAATTGAATTAATCTTATAAGATTAATTCAATTCTTACTTGTCATTCCAGTAATGTGATATATCTTCTTTGGTGTCCTTGTGGTCTACAATATGTGGGAATGACCACAAGGACTTTAAAAACTCGTATAATGGAACATTTGGGTAATATACAAAGAGGCTATGCAAAACACAGTGTCTCTGCACATTTTGCACAATATCACAATAGTGATCCTTCACTTGTCAGTTTTATTGCTGTGGCCCAGAAGAAAAAGGATTGGAGAGGTGAGGACAACTTTAAGGAACTCTGTAAAATTGAGAGCAGGTGGATCTTTGAGCTTGACACCTTATCCCCCAAAGGCCTAAATTTAGATTTTGAGTTGGTTCATTTTTTATAGTTATTATTATTTTTTCCTTTTTTATTTTTATATTTATTTTTATTTTATTTTTATATTTTTTTCCTTTTTATTTGATCTTATTTTATTTTTATGATTTGCCTCATTTTTGCATATTCCTTTAGTTTTCCTTACATACCCTAATCTTTGTATATGGGCCATAGCTATAATACCTTTGATATTTTACACTATACCATTATAGTCCATATAGACTTTGTATATCTACATCCTTATTGTCTGTAAGTTTTTTAGAGTTGCCCATATGTACAATGGAAGCCGATGCTTCAATTGGGCAAACTCTTTGTGAAGAGGGAAGCCGACGAAATGAGCGCCGAAAGAACCGGAAGTGACGTCAGACGCCGGCAAGCCGAACTTCCGCCCATGTGACCGGCAGCCAGATGAGCGGTACATTTAAAGAGAATCAGCCGGATGGACTTTCTTATGCACTGAGGAAGACTCTGATCGAGTCGAAACGCGTCTGCATACATTATATTGATTATTTGCACTTTTTATACAACTTGCTTAGTTGTTTTTACAATTTTTATTTAATAAATTTATTCATTTTTATACCATCCTTGCTGTCTCTTCTGCCTTGAGGAGTATTGTGAAGACTCTGCACTTAGCCTGCATAGGCACCCTTGGGCATTCAACATAGAGCCTGGCACGGCTCTAAAATTCGTGAGTGGATCCATTATACATTTTTATTATTGTTATTTCCATATACAGTTTACACTATGTACTGTTTTATGTGATTATAGGGTCCAAGTACACGGAACGCTACCAGTATATATCCCTGTATTCACAAGTATTGTATACATTCACTGTTTTGGAATTAAGAGAGTGGTGTGTGGATTTTTGTGGCATTTTGTACACTTAGTGTCCACATATTTTTTATCGTATACTTTGTATTTGAGGTGTTGGGGAACACTTTTTCCACCACCACTTGTGTGTCTTTGTATTGTGTAAGCGCCATCCACTTACTATCTTTTATAATTCTGGGATTATAGCACAGATTTTCTGTGCTATAGCATCGCTGGACGTCCAGCGTCGCTAAAATCCCCATAGGAAAGCATTGAAAGCATTTTCAATGCTTTCCTATGGGGAGGTCTAATGCGCGTGCGCGCCATTGCCGTGCATGCGCATTAGGTCTCCCCCGCTGGCTGACGTGGTGACGGGGAGGAGCGTTGGCGGACAAAGAAGCAGCGCCGAGGGACATCGTTGCTGCCTCTAGTAAGTCACTGAAGGGGTTTTGACCCCTTCAGCAACCGGGGACGGAAGGTGAGAGGGAGAGGGGACCTGCAGTACCAGGAAAACAGTCCCTTTAACTTAAAGGCAGGTAAACACCCTAAATCCTAACACACCATACATCCTCCTAACTATATTAACCATAATGCAATAGAACGTCTACCCTACTCCAAAATATAACCTAACTATTCCTCACAACTCTAACTTGAACCTCCTACCGCGCAGCGTCACTGTTACGAATAGGTGCAACATTCTTAAGTTGAAGTTTCACAAAACTGCAATTTAAATCCAAATGGCAAAATTCAGGTTTAAAAAAAGCCAAGCTCTGACTACTCCAGAGATGGAGGATATCCCAGATGTTTACCAAATTATGCCATTCTTGTTTCAATTCACTTCAGTTTGGAGTTTAGCAAATACATTTCTTCTGCGGTTTGTTCAATTAACAGTGATGGCAGTACATTTAAAATAAATGGCAACATTTAGTCTAAAATAGATGATCTACAAAAAAAAAAATCGATATTTTAGCCTGATTTTTGTACTTGCTGTTTCCACTTGCTACAGTTTCATGTTTAGTGAATTATAAATATAAAATATAAATTATTATGTACAGCTTGCAACCACGATTATACACGGTATTTCGGATGTTTGTTGCTCTTAACACCCCTCACAATGAAAATGTTTAATTTCCCTCTGCCTGTATGAAGAACGAATTGAAGTCGCAGGCACAAGGAGCACTAGTTCTTGTTTCCAGAGAGACTGTATTGCTGGCCGGACACAACATGGCGGCCTCCAGGGGATAATTCATGCTGTATGCTGACACCGGTATCTGGCTCTCTTCTCGGATCGTGCTTCATCGTCGTCGCTGGTGTTTCTGGCTTCCATCATGTTTGCCAAGGTCTTCAAAACCAAATCCAACACAGCCATCAAAGGCTCGGACAGGTATACAGCCGCTATCCCACCCCAATAACAATATTGCTCCCCTGCTTACAGCCAGCCACAGGGGGGATACTGCCGAGCTATGATCTCACACATGTGCAAAATGTAAACACGTTGATTACTTATCTTTACTATACAACGGCATGGCACTTTAGTATATACAGTAACTATGTCCATAGACTTTACTAGATCTGATTGAAATAGTTTATCTTTGTATTAAAAAAACAAAAAATGTGTGTGTATACACACACACACTCTCTCTCTCTCTCTCGTACTTTTTTTTAATTTTTTTTACCCTATACATACTTTAAGGTGGGTTAGCAGTCACTGTAAATAGATTGTGGTTGTCCTTATTTGCTGGTGCAATTATTGTAATATTGCCTTATTGTTATAGTGGTGACACTGGCACAATATATGTAAGGACCGATCTGAAACACAGACTGCAGTATATTTACATGTATGTATTGCCCCATCTAAGCATCATTTAAACGGGCAAATATTGTTTTCATAAATGTATGGCATTAATATATACTACTAATGCATGGTGTGAGTGACACTAGGCATTGAGAGGGCTACAATGTCAAGGCAATACCAGAACACATGGCCTGTCCAGGATTAGTGGGAGCTATTCTTTTAGACTGCAGCTCTTTACTATTGTTACCATTAAGTTAGACTTTTACAAAACACTCATATGCAAGGAAGAGAGAAGGAGAGATAGAAATAATGTGATTCTTTATCTCATGTTTCTCTCCTGGGATATAACTAAAGTCAGAGTGGCTAATTTAAAGGGACACTCTAAGCACCATAACTGCTACAGTGTTCTGTAGTGGTTATGGTGCCAGGAATGCACTAGTGCCCTCTTATTGTAAGGAGTAAAACCATTTTAGATAGGTAACTGGCAGGCACTGCTCCCCACCTGCACTACTGTTCAGAGAGTGCCAAAAGTTCTGTTCACTGAGTTAAGCACAGGGAGCTTATGGTTCTCGCAGAATTCTAGAGGAGGTGGGGAGCGGCGCCTGCTGGACCGCAGGTAAGAAGTCAAACTGTTATTAAATGGTTTGACTCCTTACAATTGGGGGTGCCTCAGTAGTTCTAGTGCTTGAAGTGTTCCTTTTAAAAGTCCTTAGTTATACCCTCTTGATTGTCAATCAGATAGTTAAAGGACCACTATAGTGCCAGGAAAACATACTAATTTTCCTGGCACTATAGTGCCCCCACCCTCAGAGTCACCCTCCCGCCGGGTTGGATGGAGAAGAAGGGGTTAAACTTACCTCTTTCTCCAGCGCCGGCGAGGAGCTCTCCTCTTCGGCTGAATGAGCATGCGCGGCAGGAGCCGCACGCGCATTCAGCCAGTCCATAGGAAAGCATTCACAATGCTTTCCTATGGACGCTGGCGTCTTCTCACTGTGAAAATCACAGTGAGAAACGCGGAAGCCCTCTAGCGGCTGTCAATGAGACAGCCACTAGAGGCTGGATTAACCCTAACATAAACATAGCAGTTTCTCTGAAACTGCTATGTTTATAGAAAAAAGGGTTAACCTTAGATGGACCAGGCACCCAGACCACCTCATTAAGCTGAAGTGGTCTGGGTGCCTATAGTGGTCCTTTAAGGAGGGCTTTCTGCCTCACTCACTTTGAGCACTCTTTCAAAGCAGAATGCAATGCCTTTCAGTGTGAGGCTTTCACACCATGTTTCTTTATGAGAAGCATTTGAGTGTTGCACATGCACCGTATGTCCCCATT